TTGGAGACTTTTTGATAAAGGCCATTCTCACTGGAGTTAAGTGATATCTCATTGTAGTTTTGATTTGCATTTCCCTGATGATTAGAGATGATGAGCATTTTTTCATATGTTTGTTGGCCATTCTTCTGTCTTCTGTTAATATGCCAGATATCAAACTATACTACAAAGCTGTAGTAATTAAAACAATCTGGTATTGGCACAAAAATAGGAATATTGACCAGTGGAACAGATCTGAGAATCCTGATATAGAACCATTCTCATATAGCCATCTAATCTTTGACAAAGCAGACAAAAACATATGCTGGGGAAAAGAAACCCTTTTCAATAAATGGTGCTGGGAAAACTGGATAGCCACTTGTAGAAGGCTAAAGCAGGACCCACACCTTTCGCCCTCTCAAAAAACTCACGCTGGATAACAGACTTAAACCTAAGGCATGAAATATTAGAATTCTAGAGGAAAATGTTGGAAACACTCTCCTAGACATTGGCCTGGCAAAGAGTTTATGAAAGAGTCCCTAAGGCAATCAAAGCAGTAACAAAAATAAATAAATGGGACATGATGAAACTAAAAAGCTTCTGCACAGCCAAAGAAACAGTCATGAAAGTAAACAGACAACCTACAGAATGGGAGAAAATTTTTGCATCCTACGATCCGACCAAGGGTGATACTAAGAATATTTTAGAACTCATGAAAATCAGCAAGAAAAAATCAAATAACCCTATTAAAAAGTGGGCAGAGGACTTGAACATTTCTGAATTTTTAGTTTGAAAAAGTCTTTAATTGTCCTAGGTTATCTAGAAAAGAATATCATCATAAGATTGAGGATAAGACTAAGAGTTAAGCTGAAATGCCTCTTGAAGATCTTTTTTTTGTAAGAAATACAATGTAACATCTGTATTGTAGATAAAAAATAAAATTTGATGCCTATAATGAAATAATTGGTATCTGGAAATGAGTTTGGACTTAAATCATAAAAGATAAGCAGAATGATAATCTATAATAATTAGATATTTTTTTATATAAACATACATTTTAAAAGTTTTGCTATTCAAAACAATCTCAGATTTTAAAGTATATAAAAGAATAGCTTTTTAAAGACAAAAATAAATTTTCCAATAAATTCTTAGTAGAAATCTAACATTAAAATAATTTATGAATAATTATTGAAGCTGTTTTATTCTTATTTTCTATACAGTTAGGTTTGTGGTATAAGCTGTTTTTGGCAAAGTTTTTGGCCCTTAAGCCTAGATCTGTGCTCTCAAATTTGTAATGACAGATAATGAACAAATTAGTGTGAATAAATCTAGGTTTTAGAGACACTGCCAACTCCTGTCCTTAAAAGAATTTCTACAAATTCTGGAAGATACATCTAATTTCAGTGAGTTTCAAACTGAAATTGAGATGACCTTTCAGTAGCCATGTATTTTTTGTAAAGGATATTAGCCCCAGTCCCTGTGACTTTTTAATTGCACAGATCTTCTTTTAATTCATAACATAAAAGAATTGTTCTCTAAGTATTTTCCAGAGTCTTTCACCTCGGTTAGTGCTATACAGACTCTTTATTAGAGTAAGAAAAAGCAGACTCTACAGGGGAATTTCTCACGGAATATGTATCCAATACTCTAGATCAAAGGATTTTTGGGGACTTTTTGTTCTGCCTTCTCTGGTTTTGCCAATGTCAAGCACGGAAATTGGAGCAGTAATTAAAAACCTTCCAAAAAGGAAAAGTCCTGGACCAGTCGGCTATACTTCTGAGTTCTACCAAACATACAAAGAAGAACTCATACCTGTATTACATAAATTATTTCACAACATTGAGGAAGATGGTATCTTCCTTAACTCATTCTATGAAGCCAACATCACCTTGATACCAAAAGTGGAAAAGGACACAACAAAAAAAGAAACTACAGACCAATATCCCTCATGAATATTGATGCAAAAATTCTCAACAAAATTTTAGCAAACCGGATCCAACAGCATATCAAAAAATAATTCACCATGACCAGGTGGGCTTTATGCCAGAGATGCAAGGCTGGTTCAACATACGCAAATCTATAAATGCATTTCACCTCATAAATAATAGCAAGAACACAGAGAATCTATTGAGATTCTCTCAATAGATGCAAAAAAAGCATTTGACAAAGTCCAGCACACCTTTATGATAAAAACTCTTAGCAAAATAGGCATAGACAGGACATGCCTTAAAATTATCAAGCCCATATAAGAGAAACCCACAGCCAATATCATACTGAATGGGGAAAAATTGAAACCATTCCCACTTAGATCTGGAACCAGATAAGGGTGTCCACTATCCCCACTGCTTTTGCTTGTTTGTTTGATTTTTAGTGTTCTAATGAAAACAGTTTGAATGCCCAACACTTTATACATAGGCACTCACATAGAAAATGTTGCACACAATTTCAGGGATTCACAGACCTCACTTGAAACCTAAGGTTGGTCCATGGATTTTAGGTAAGGATGCAGTTGGACACACTATTAATCTCTTGCTTAGCATCCTCTTCGTACCCTGGAAGGAGGGATTTTTCAGATCTGAGGATTAATACAGTGTTGTGTGCCACCTAAACAAATGGTGTCTCTCTTGTGGATTCTGAGTTTTGTAATTGATTGTGATTTAGCCTGGGAGTTTTCTTAGTAACTCACCATTATTGAGTAGATAGGCCTTCACTTACATAGCATTTATTTTGTGGATTTGCCTCATGGCTGATTTCATTTCATACTGATCCAAAATAGGAAAAATATCTTTTGCTATATTTTCTTTCTTCTCCTAATTTAGATTACAGCATTACATATGCAAACAATATCCTAAATCCTTCTTAGAAATAAATTTTAAAACTTTCATTTTAAGGCCAGGCGCTGTGGCTCACGCCTGTAATCCTAGCTCTTGGGAGGCCGAGGCGGGCGGATTGCTCAAGGTCAGGAGTTCAAAACCAGCCTGAGCAAGAGCAAGACCCCGTCTCTACTATAAATAGAAAGAAATTAATTGGCCAACTGATATATATATAAAAAAATTAGCCGGGCATGGTGGTGCATGCCTGTAGTCCCAGCTACCCGGGAGGCTGAGGCAGAAGGATCACTCGAGCCCAGGAGTTTGAGGTTGCTGTGAGCTAGGCTGACGCCACGGCACTCACTCTAGCCTGGGCAACAAAGCGAGACTGTCTCAAAAAAAAAAAAAAAAAAAAACAAAAAAAAACAAAAAAAAAAACTTTCATTTTAAATTAGAAGTTGCTTTTGTACATTTAAGAAAAATAAGTCAGCTGATTAATTTTTCTTTCTAAGTAGCAAACGTCGTGGTGGCATGTAGCAGTGGAAAATATACAGGCCTAGCATCAGACATACCTGAGTCCAAATACTGTCTTTGCTGCTTTCAGTAATCATTAGAAAATTTTGTAATCTCTGTGGGCATCAGTTTCCAGCCTCCAGGTGGAGAAATTAACTTTACTAAATGTCTCTTATTTGCCATATATCATTCTAAGTTATTTATATAAGATATGCAATGCCTAATTATTTCAGCAATCTATGAGAAGGTTATATTTACATCTTACTACTGTGAAAATTGATCTCAGAATGATTGATAAGATTTCCCAAGATTAATACAGCTAAAGGATGGTAGAATAGAAATTGAAATCCAGATCCAACTTACTTAAAAAACCATATTTTTTTTTGTTTAAAATATACTGACTTGTGAATACTAAACTTGTGAAAATCCGATTAAAGTAATAAAATATATCAAAATTAATGAGTAAGACCCACAGCTAAGAAATTTATGTCCAGAGACCTTCCAACTGTTAAGGCCTCCCTCTTGCTGATACTACTTCCACCACCACCAAGCCTCGTTGATATAAGATGAAGATTAAGAACCAAATATTGTAGAAAATTTTATGGAAGAACCTGTTCCATCTGCCTGTCTCCCATGCAGGTGGGTGGCCTGCTTTTCCTTCTGAAAACCCATGTATGAAACCCAAGGAGAATCCCTTATAAGTTTGGTGTATCTGTAAACTGAGGAATCTACACTTTGTTTCCTAGTTGTATGTCTACTTAACCATCAGACTTCCTACTCTCTGTGCTACCAAAGCAGGGGTAAAGAGTACTAGAGATGGAGGTTTTGCTGGGTTTTCAGGCTGAGAGAAGAAAGATAGAAAGACAGTGCCCTTTCAGTGTCTGGTCTGAGAACTCACCAGGAGGCTGGATAACACATGGAACTGGGGCTTTGCAGGGGACCATAGGAATGTGGGTCATGGATGTGCATTTTTTCAGAGGAATGCAATATGAGGCTGCCAGATGGGTTAAACTGTATAGTTTCATTTCCCTAAGCACCACCAATGTCCAGGTGAGCTGCATGGGAGTGAGACTTTCACCTACAGGCCCTTCAAGTTAACATCAAGTCCATAGAAAATGAGCAAGTCCGAGGAATTTGCACTGACCAGTTTTGCCATGGGCCATCATCCAGGAAGCCTGCCTCCCTCACCCGTCCACCCACCTCTCACTTTTCTAGAAAGGTGTACAGTAGGTAAGGTGTGGGGTAGAGATTTGGAAAACAGAACATTCACCTCCTTATCCCCAACCCCCACCACGCTCACATTTCCAAACCTCCAGGTTATTAGAGTTTAACCTGCTGGGGGTGGGGTGGGTAGGAAAACAATGGTGCTTTTTATTTATTTTTTTAATAATAACAAGTGATTAAAGTAATTGTGCAAGTGGGTTGTGTTTTAGTCCTGGGATAAGACTTCAAGATGGACGTGTTCTCTACACATGTTCAATGATCAACCTATCTACCATGGAAAAACTACGCAGTTAGGGCAATCATCGGGAAAAGATAAAATCATTTTGTATTTCTATATTAGTGTTGCTGTTCCTAAGTAAAATGACTATAAATTAATTGATGTACATAAAATGTTCAGGTGGTTGCCACAAGTAAATCTGAATTGGTAACTAGCTACATACAATTTATATTTAATTCCAAATTCTACTTAACTTTCAGAATACCATTTGGGATAGAAAACTGGTCATTCTTCACCTGCAGAAAATATGGAAAGTACTGAAATCAACCTGGAGATTAAGGGCCTGACTTGTTTTAAATCCATCCAAAAGAGCTTGCTGATCGGAACCAAATGTCGTGACTCCTAGTTGGGTGTTCTCTGGTACCTCTCAACCATTTACAAAGGCAGAAAAGGTTTAGTAAATATTTTTCGCCATTCTAGATTGAATTCAAAAGATCATTTAAAAATAGGTATTATTCCTTTGATAAACTGATGCATAGCTGCGACAGAGGAATAAAAGTTGTTAGCATTTGATGATCAGAGGGGAGCTTGAGGGTAGGAAAATATTTCTAGTCTCCAAGAATAAAGAACATTCAGTAATTATAAAATTCCTATCACTGCCTCAAGCAACTTTAGACTTCAAATGTATAATAAATATATTTGTTTCTAGCTTTGGAACAGATCATATAATAGATACTAGTAAGAAATTATGCACATATTATTTATAAGTGAATAATTATAAATTCAATTAGATTGTCCTGAGTAAAAGTTAATTATGCCTAAAGAAGGGTGCCTATACTTTAACATGTCAAATTTTAATCTTATTTTAGAATTGTATAGGTAATAGTTATAGTGCATGAAATAGTCTTTTGTATTCTGGAATTAAGGCTATGCTACTGTGTTTGAAGTCTTTATGATACAAAAAGTAGCCATTTTATATTTGCTTACCCAAGTAAGAAAAGTCTTACTCTAGGCAATTGATGTTTTGCTTGAGGTGGCATATTTGCTTGAGATCTCATATATGCACTTTTTTCATAAAAACATTTATAGAAAACTGAAGTTTATAGAAGCCTAAAAATTATTATACTTTATATAAATAATTTATTTCTGGATATGATATTTAAACATAAATGTTAAAGAAGGAGTTCTGAAGCAAAAAGAAAAAGAAAGCTAAACAGGCCTATTAGTGGCTATATGGTAAATAACTCATATTGCTGTTGCTAACAGAATTTTAGGCTCATTATTTTAACTTTAATGTTATTATGGTGGACTCCTCCTTGATACATAGCTTTTTTTTTTAGCTTGGCTGGGAAACAGGCCCTCATGGGCACAGTTTGAACTTCAGAAACAACTTTGCCCAATTTGTGCAACCTGGAAACTTGGAAATGAAAAACAGAAAGACCACTGTTCTTTTGTGAGTCTTCATGTAAATCTCTGAATTTTAAATTATTATCATAAGATTAAATATTCGAGTGGTCAGGAGGCAAAGAGATTAAAGGATTAATTGGGAAGTGACTCTGAACTAGAACTCATTCCAGCAGGAACCAAGAAAGAAATATAAACAAATAGTAAAACAGTGCTCTTACTGTCAGAATTAAAAGTGAAGGTTCCTTCACATATTCACTTTATTGTGAGGCCCTGAACACTCTCATCAGGTTGATAATCAAATGTTCAATCAATTTCTTAACTGCAATCTTACCATGTAGAAATAAATAAAGTCAATTATTATCAAAATCAAAAGCATCAAGAATGACACTCTTGTTGTTCCCCATGAAATACTAATAATAATTTTTAGTTGGAACAAAAAGGGTGTTTTACCATGAATATATGAAATAAAATTATGACTATTAAGAAAAAAAAAAAGAATGACATGGTGGTAGGTAAAATAACACCACAGGAACATTTCAGAGTCAGCTCTGGACAAATAAAATTATAGTATTTGATAATAATTCTCATCATTACCCACATTATCGCATACATTTTCTTTCTCTTATAAACAAAGTTTAAGATACTAGAGCAACACTACTGACAGATAAGATTGAATCATAGCAGGTGAACAATAACTAATAGTTGATGGTGACACTGATGAGGAACATAAAGCTTTTAGCAGAATAATGTTAAACACAGTATTTTTGTTTTAGAAATTAAAGTAAGCACTATTTAACCAAGAGTTTGATGATTCCATATGTACATAAGCTATATTAAGATATCCTCAGAAAATGAGGTTATTTTAAAGAAAAACAAGACTGTGACTAATAATTGTTCAAATGCTTTTACTTTTTACATGAATATTTTAACCCCACACATATTTTGAAATGTCCAGATGGCATTTACTTGTACAGAGGACTGTGCAATTCATTCATACATCCTTTCAATTAATATTTGTCATGAGCCTACTATGTGCCAGTCACTGGGGTACAAAGGGAACAAAACAAAGTCTGTTTTGTGGAATTTACAGTCTAGTAGAGGTAGAAAAATGCTAAGAAATGCATAACAAATCAGATGATAATAATTGCAATCCAAGAAATAATAAAGCAGGGTAAGATCTAGAGATTGGTGTTGGAAGGGCACTATTTATCTAGGACAGTGGGGAAGTTCCCTCTGATGAGATGACATTTGTGAAGGGACCCAGAAGACATGCGGGAGTACAGCGTTACAGAGAGAAGTGAAGAGGAAGTCCAAGATCCTGAGACAGAGCATACTTGGTCTGTGGGAGTAACAGTGGGGAGGCCACTGCAGCTGAAGCTGAATAAGTGGGCAGGATAGAAAATGAGTTCAGAGGGGTGAGGAGGGATGAACAGGTTGGGGGGAATGTGCCAGGCTTGTAGGGATGCAAGAGATGGTAAGCATTGGATGATATGGCACAGGACAGTGGTGGGATCTACCGCTTCTTAGAAGGATTACTCCAGCTCCTGTACTGGGAATAAACTAGTTGCACAAAGATGACAGCAAAATACCAGAGAGAAGATATTGCAATAGTCTAGGTGAGGGAAGATGGTGATTTGTTCATGAGGTGTAGTTGCAGCAGTGGAGGTGGAGAGAAGTGGTAAAATATTGAATAGGTTTACAAAGATGAGCGGAGAAATAATGTTGATACATTAAATGCAGTGTGTGAAAGACAGAGAAGGTCAAGGATGAGTCTGAGATTTCTTTGCCCCAAAATTGGAAGGATGAAATAGCCTTTCACTGAGACAGAAAAAGAAGGTCAGGCTTTAGGAATAGAACTGGGAATCAAAGATTTCAGATTTGGATTTATCAGATTTGATATGCCTATTTAGCCTCCAAGAGAAAATACAGAGCATAGAGTGAAGTAGGCACTAAATAGCAATAGTGTAGAAAACACTGTCAAATGATTGCAGTCTACTTGAGAAGTAAAAATAAAAACAAAACAAAAAACCCCCACAGTATTCAGAAATTTTACAGTGCAATTAAAGTATATAATGAAATTAAATATATAAGTACTCAAGGAATTCCACTAATTTCAGGATGTCTTCAAAAGACTCAAATAAAAATTAACTTTTAAGTTTTATGTATGAAAAGAGCTCCCTTGCTTCTAAGAGGAGCCAGTATTACAAAAATGTAAAAATTAACCTCCAAAAAGTACGGAAGTTAAGAATCTCTGCTCAAAAATAAAAAATTAAAACCCTATGCCTTGCCTTGAAATCATCAGTTTACTAGCTTTTCTAACTCCTTATTTTTTTAAAAAAAGCTTTCTTAAATGAATATGCTGCTTTGTAAGTTAATAGTGCACAAACCAAACTAAATCAACATGTCGGAAATTGTTCCCATTTTAGCACATGCACAGAATTTTACCTGAAAATTTCCAGAAAGTCAGCCCTACAAAATCCAACTGAGAGCAATTAAAGGAAAATATTTTTCTTTCAAACTTGAAAGAAACTAGTGTTAGAACCACTGTGGATGCCTGTCCAAAGTTATACTGAGTAATATTTGTAGAAAAGGGATACCAATTATTTTTCCTTAAAAGAAACATGGTAAAATAATTATGAGGATATATCTAAGATGACTTTGCTACTGAAAAGGAAGAGAAATTTAAGAAAGAAATATCAAGTTACTGGACCTCTGCACAAATAAGCAAGTATGTCAGAAAGGGCCAAAAACATGGAATCGTGATTCTTTTCAAATGAAGGATTATTTTTGGAGATAACATTAGAAATAGATTTAAATTGATTAAGAATGGGGCTAAAAATAAAAACATTAACATGTAGAATAAATGTCATGAATTGCCTGTTAGAGTTATGAGCAAGCACTGGTTCTATAGCAACAACCAAAATCAATACAGAGGGAACGGAGCCATCTCTTTTTCTTGATATGAATATTTTCTCCTAAATAGTCCAATGCAATTGCCAATACTTTTTTAACTGCAGACACTAATGTAAATAATTGTCTGTTAGTGTGTGTCTCTCATTCACACTTGTGTTCATTTTAGAGCTGCCTATATTTTACTTTCAGAAAAAGTCTTAGAAAGCAGGTTAACACTAACTAGAAACAAATCTGTACTTAAGGACAAAACATGTAACTCATCATCTGCTCAAAGAAGCAAGTGTCCCAACATGTTATACATAATGACTCACTTTAGGGTTCCCTTTACATAAATATCACCATGTGCTACTGGAACATAGACATCTATTGCATCAGATGGGCATAACTCTAAAGTTATTTTGAAGAGTCCAGTGAAATTCCATTGCTATTTAAAAGTTATAAATCACATTATAAGTGTCCCAGGCAGGGATAGACATATATCCATATATCTAGTAGGTGAATATATTTGACGAATTCTTTTGAGAACTGCAAAACTACGCTCCTGAAAAAATTTCCAAAAGTTACAATTACAAAGGAAATGACTATATTCTTCCCATCTCTATCAGGAGCTAATCTAAGCAGAGCTGTACAAAATTTCAATTGGAAATAGTTTCTTATATCATTACTTTACCTTGATGTATGAGACATTTTTGCTAACTCTTAGCACACTCTGAATTTGCTTTCCTGATCCCTGTTTTAGCTGAGTAGCATGACTAAAATCACTCTAGATGGAAATGGTATTTAGTAGTTGCACCAGATTAGAGAGAGAATCATTTTCACATGTAGACATTTGGGATCATTCCCACAATGTACTGCAATCAAAAGATTGTCAAGTATAGAAGTGCAATGCATAGAACATAACTAGTTAGTAAATAAAACCACTGTTGAATGTTTTTAGGATGACTGGATTTGAAGAGTTGGCTCCAAATTGAAGGGATGTTTACCTTTGCTAAATGACAATTTGAGAGTGGAAAAACAAAAAAGGAAGGTGAA